AATCCTCCGCACTCTACCGAGTGCGCCACCAGGCCGGCCCGGGACAGATTTATTTATGTCAACAAATCCCCATCAAATATTCCCAGTAACCCATCTGATGATGCAATCATGTAATAAAATAATAGCTGATATTTACTAAGCACTTGCAATATTCCATCTCATTAAATAAGATGCAAATTCCACTGTGGAAACTGGAATCTTCATCAGGACTCCGATCTGTATGTGTTTCTATGTATGTGCATCTGTGTATGTTTGTGGTGTCTTGTGTCTACATGTCTATACGTATACTTGTGTTTGTACACTGTCATGGTATCAAATAGGCTTATAAATAATGTGCACTCATAAGTTAAGTCCAAATGCTTTTAAGTTCATGTGACTTTAGCAATCTTTGGTAAAGAAAACTAGTTTAAAAATTATTGGTAAAATAAGGGCTGCCCCATGGGTCACTTGGGAGAGTGTGGTGCTGACAACACCAAGTCAAGGGTTAAGATCCCCTTACCGGTCATCTTTAAAAAAAAAATATATTGGTAAAATAAAATAGAAATGTTTTCAAATTTTAATTAGATGTTTTTGCCTAGGTCAATTTGTCAGACAAATTTATTCTGTCTCTTCTAGATGTTTTAAGATCATGGGGGCTGGCTGGTAGCTCGCTTGGTTAGAGCATGGTGATGATAACACCAAAGTCAGGGGTTCAGATCCTCACACCAGCCAGCTGCCAAAAAATAAAAAATATAGGGCCGGCCCGTGGCTCACTCGGGAGAGTGTGGTGCTGATAACACCAAGGCCACGGGTTCGGATCCCATATAGGGATGGCCAGTTGGCTCACTGGGTGAGCGTGGTGCTGACAACACCAAGTCAAGGGTTAAGATCCCCTTATTGGTCATCTTTTAAAAAAAATAATAAATAAATAAAAATAAAAATATAAAAAATCATGAAATGTTACTTCCATGATATTTTTGATACTCACTTGATTTATTTGTAAGTTAAAGCTGTGAGAGCTGGCTGCTGGGCCATGCTGGAAAATCTCAAATCCTCCACACATGGCCTTTGTAGCTTTGTCCTCTGTCCTGGGCTCTGCCCTGGGTATGTAAATCCAGGAACAAGATGGGCCCTGACATTCATAGCCACCCTGGATGCCACGTGAGTATTTGGGACCCAGGATGGCTAAGGGGGAAAACTTTGAAAAGGGTAACTATGTTCAGTATCTCAAAGGTTTTGGTTAAGGGGAGACTGGTTGATGTGAATTTGCTTTTCTGAAAGAAAGAAAAATAAAAAAATTTTTTTTTCCTTTTTGTCTTTTTTACTGACTGGTAACAGGATCGCAACCCTCAGTGTCGCGCCCGTACCGGGGACCGGCAACAGGATCGCAACCCTCGGTGTTGCGCCCGCACCGCGCTCAGCCAGTGAGCGGGAACCGGTCTCCACATGGGATCCGAACCCTCGGCGGGAGCGCTGCTGCGCTCCCAAGCGGCGCACTCTCCAGTGCGCCACCGGGCCGGCCCAGAAAAATAAAAATTTAACTGAAATGGCTAGCTTTGTTTTCCAAAAGCAATTTAAAATAACTGTTTAAAATGAGTAAATTAGGTAAATGGGATTAGAATAAACGTTTATGCATAGATTTATCTGAGTTTGAAAAATCTTTTCAATAATTTAAAATCTAAGTCATGTTAAGTAATAGTAATAGTAATCATAAGATATCTGACATTTCTAAATTAAAATATTGAAATATTCATTCTTAAACATAATCTTGATCATAAATATTAATTATTAAACATTTCTAAATTAAAATATTGAAATATTAATTATTAAACATAATCATAACCTTCAATTATTAAACACAAACTTTGACATATTATTTATATGATATAAAAAGCTAAATATTGGCCGGCCCGGTGGCGCACTCAGTAGAGTGCGTTGCTTGGGAGCGTGGCGGCGCTCCCACCGAGGGTTCGGATTCCATATAGAGACCGGTCTGCTCACTGGTTGAGCACGGTGAGGGCGCGACACCGAGGGTTGCGATCCCGTTGCCTGTCACGAAAAAAAGACAAAAAAAAGGAAAAAAAAAAAGAAAAGAAAAGAAAACATCATCAAATAAAAGGACTCCCTTCCAAGCCACATTGGAAGGGACCATAGCAGGTATTGTTCAACAATCCCCACGTGGCTCAGCTTAAACCCATTGACTCATAGATTCGTGTTTCTCATCTTGAAAATGCAAATATCCCTCAGTGGACCTCTTTTGTTGCTGGAGATACTCAACTGAAACTAACCCACAGCCAAATGCCTCAACCTTCCGGCCAGAAGAAGACGGCACCTGAGCAGACCGTGTTTACCTAAGATCCTGCACCTGACCTAACAACAACTCTGTGATCAGCATTGCTGAAACATTTGGACGTTTACTTTTACTGTGGAGAATTCTGCCAGTCTCAGGCCTTTGCCAGACTGTGGGTTGCATCTCTTGGTTCACATTCTAACCAGGCCATATGCCTCAAGATTACTTACAAAGTTACACTCTTGCTTCATTATTTCTTTTCCCAGGCTTAGGCCAGGTTAAACTTACTACCTAAGTTGTGAAAATGCCCTTAGTTTTTCTTTTGCAGTTTTTCACCATCCAGCCCACTAAAACTTTTGAAGGCAACCTATTTCCACAATGGACATGTTGCTTTGCCTCCCATGGATTTGTCACCCCTTTTCCCCTGGGTGACGGAGCCACCAAAGATTATTCAAAGCCCATCTCTTCTGAGCAGTGAGAAGCCCCTAAAAGGGGTTAATCTCCCAGAACCCTCAAGATAGAGGTGTTCCTTCCATTTGGGAAATTAACCACGAATTGGTGTTCTCTTCCTGCATATATTCTACAGACCAGGAAGTTCCAGGAAGAGAACATAGGTGGAGTTTTATCTAAGTACAGTTTAACAAGTTTAACAACAGAAGCTGGTAACATTCAGTAAGAAAGCAAGGTGATATTCTATAATGCAATTAAGTTGATCCACTAACAAAAGCTTGATTTTAGCAAACATTCTCTTCTTACAGCAATTTCCCAGTATCTTTACATAGCAATCAGTAACCTGTCTGTCTTTGAACTAGCAAACTTACTGTGTTACGATTTTTTTATCTTACAACAGAGACTATATAGCCTGGGGAAAATTTCCTGTCCTTTGCAAGGTCAATGTTTGAAACTGCAAAGCTTTGGAAAACCAGGCCCTGTGAAATACATTTGTTTTATTCATACTTCACATGGACACAATATTTGGCCTGAGGCCACAACTTATCCTCCTGTCAAATATGTGACAAATGTTCCTATCCAGGTTTTTGAGTATTACAAAGAATTGAACAATCTGACTATCTTTCCATCCCAACTCCCATGTTGTTTAAAATTTGAATGGAGACCTAGAGCCCAGAGACTAGTTTCTTTCCCACCTAGTTGTGACAAGACTTTTTCTAGGGATGAGACTTCCCAGCCATGAAGGACAAAAAAGTCTATCTGAGTTGATTATCAGTGCTTTTAGATGAGCGATTTTTTTTTTTAAGATGACCAGTAAGGGGATCTTAACCCTTGACTTACTGTTGTCAGCACCACACTCTCCCAAGTGAGCCAACAGGCCATCTCTATATAGGGATCCGAACCTGTGGCCTTGGTGTTATCAGCGCCACATTCTCCCAAGTGAGCCATGGGACAGCCCTAGATGAGTGATTTTTTGATCAAAAGGGGAAAATAACATGAAAATTTGCTTTGACCAGGTCAGCTAAACTGTAGTACCTTGGGAGACCTGGGACAAGTCCCATCTGCATGTCCTGGAAAATGTTCTCATAAGACCATTTTTACTTAGAAGAAGAATCAGTGGCACCAGAAAGTCATCAAATAACCTAGCATGCTTCTTGTATCCCCTACCCTAGATGCCTGCATGTAGGATGTAACCTAGTAACCATCCCAAGCCTGTACCGCATGTACAACCAACAGAAAACTGACTAAGTGATACGGCGGGGCTGTCCTTGTCTCTCTCTCCTTTGATTCTTCCCCCTTCCTGTGGTTATAAAATGCTAAGCTCTGCTGGCCTCTTTGCAGCGTATTTCTCAGGGCGACCTGACCTATGTGTTTCCCCAATTGCAATCGTCACACTGGCTCAATAACTCCTATGCTTTATATGTTCAGCCTCAGTTCCTTTTAGGTCCACAATAAAAAAAACTTCATTTTTGTAGATTCTCAATCCACGTCGAGTGGCTCTGGACAAGTGTGTGTAATCTTGACGAAACCCACAAAGGCAGCTGAAACCATCCCATGGAAGACCAAGTGCTATGAACTTTATAAGTGATTAACAGAAACGGGGGGTTGGTGAATCACAATTTGGCTAATTAGCCTTTTAGCAAGTGGGTCTTTCAAGAATTAACTCTGAGTTTAATTGTCTTTTGGAGGATTGTCCTAGAGCCCTTTGGACCAAAGTTCTACACTGTGAAAATCTCTATGCCTCAGTTTTCTTGTCTCTAAAGTGGAGATAATAAAAGCCTGCTGGATAGAGTTGTCATGAGCATTAAATCCATTTAACACAGTAAAGTGCTTGGAATAGAGCCTGAAACAGCATGTGGCTGGTCCTTTCCTTCACCCTGTTCCACGGGGGTTAGGAGCCAGCCTGTGCAGGCTTTCCATTGTCACCCCTCCAGGGCCTCCTCCGGGTCTCCTGGCCCTTGCAGCAGACCCTGGGAGCTGGGGACCCTTCCCGCCCGAAGCAGCAACTGTATTTGGACACGTGCGCCGCCTGGTGGCCGTAGCTGCAAACAGCACAGCGTCCAGCGTGGCGGGTCTTTCCGTGGTTGGTGGGGTGGCCGACCTCAGCAATGTCTTTCTGAGCCGCCTCTCTAAGACTGGGCAACGTCATCCACGTCCCAGGGCTGCGGATCAAGTGAGCTAAGTTGTGTGAGGCACTGGGTCAGGCCCACAGGAGGCCCTGGAACAGCATCAGAGGCCTTCCCCATGGGAGCAGAGTTCCCTGGCTCTTATGGCCCCGGACCTCGACCTCAGCAAAGGTCTGGGTCACCAGCATGATGGTGTTGAGGCAGACGATGAGGAAGATGAAGGCTTCAAAGGCCAGGGACTCAGTCAGCTTCCAGATCATTCTTCTGAAGCCCTGAGTGAGGTTAATTTTTTTTTAATTGAATCATAATTGATTATACATATTTTGGGGATTCAATATTGACATATGTTGATCAAATCGTTATTACTAGTTTGTATATTGTTACAAATTGTACTTATTCTTTATGCCCCTTGTCCAATCTCTCCCTATCTCCCTCTCCCTGCCCCCTCCCACCACTGATAACCCTAGATTTCTTCTCTCCTTCTGAAAGAGCAGTGGTTACTCTGTTGATGTGTTGCCTAGATGATCTGTCCAATCCTGAGAGGTGTGTTCAGGTTCCCAATATTACCATGGAGTGGATGCTTCCTCTGTCACTCTGGAATGGGCTTTGTGTAGAGGGGCATCCTCTTCTTTTCTTTAGTCTCTGCTGGTGACTCTCCTTGTGTTGATGCACTCCAGTGGCTGGTGGACCATCTGTGTGGTGATTGTGACGTCTAGTCACTTTTGTGGCAGCTGTGGTTACTGTGGTTGCTGTGGTGGGCCGCCCACATGGAGGTGATGTTTTTCACATGCTCCTTGGAGCTGGTGGTGTGACTGGTTGTTAGTTGGGGGTTCAGTCCCTGCTCCATACCCTGGGTCCCTGTGCAGGGTCCTGAGGCGCTGGCAGTGTGCCTGGGTGTGGGAGTGGGGTCTGGTCCCCAGCTTCAAGCCTCAGGTTCCGAGGCTGTCCCCAAGGCACCGGCAGTCTGCATGGTTGTGGGTGGGGCATTTGGTCCCCACTCCATTCCTCAGGTCTCCTGCCAGCCCTGAGATGCTGGTGCTGTACCTGAGCCAGAACTAATTTTTTGTCCTTTGCTTACTTCTAAAATGGGGGAACTTCCTGTGGGGAAGAGTACTTGAGCTCTGTGGTTGAGCTAAATTGCTGCTTTGCTGCTGTGTCCTTAGGGAAGGCTTTCTGTGCAGCTCAGGGTTTAATGGCTGATCTTATAGGTACTTCCAGCTCTCCAGAGACTTGTTGCACCTGGGTTGTATAGAAACTCTGATCTGGACCTGATTTTTTTCATCAAACTGCACCCCATGCAATTCTGTATTCCCAACCGGTCTCCTCTCAGTGACCCTGTGCTGATTGGGGGGTGGATCGGCTGTCCTTGCTGTGTCCTAGTGTTCTCCCGGTGGGCCCATCTCCCCCACTGCCTGTACTACAAACACTTCCCATGGGATGGTCCATGCTCCAGTCTCTTGCAGTGACTCACCAGCCTCTGAGTGGCTCCTTTTTTTCAGTTGTTCTGGCTCCTCGCTCCTGCATGGGTCCACGGGAACTCTGTTAGTGGTCTTGCTGGCCTGGGGGACACTGAGGCCCTCTTCTCCCCTGCCACCTCCAAGCAACTCCATCTGAAGGGCACAGCCGCGGCTTCTGCCAGCTCCTGCTCCATGAGCTCAGCAGCCCCAGCCCTAAAGTGGCCACAGCCTGAAAAGCTCAGAGCAGTTTTTCCTTTCTCTCCTCGTGGCTTCTCCTGCCTTCATGGACTCCGTAGGTCTCCACCTCTTCCCCTGAGCTCTAGCAGCCCCAGCTTGGCTGTGGTTACATTTTTATACTTGTAAATTGGTTGATTTGCGGGAGAGAGTGAGGATGGGTCTCCGTCTGTTCCGACATCTTGACTGGAACCAAAGTAGCTTAATTTTTCCCACAGCCAGTGGAAGAAGTTCATTGTGTGCTGCTTCTTGTGGGTCCGCTGGGTTCTGCCGGCTAGAAGGGGGCCAAAAATTCAGGGATGTGCAGGTGGAGGCCCAGGCACCCTCCCAATCTGGGTCAGGGTCATCGTCATCCCTACATGCTCACCTGTCACCCATTCCTGAGGTGCCTCCAGGCCAGCCCTGTGCTGGTATTGGGGCCACAGGCCTGAGCCCTTCCAGGGCCTGTTGGAAATTCAGAGTCAGCTGGAGTGGATCCTGAGGGCACCTGCTCCTGCACCTGCACGTCTTTCTTAGCTCACGTGGTAACTCATGCATGGAAAACCCGGCCTTCACTCTCCCTCTCCCTTTAAGATCCTGCTGGAATATCCCCTCCCCTTGACTGCCTTTCACGTCTCCATCCAGTAAGACACTCATCCCTCTCTGCTTGTTGGCGAGACATTTGCTATGTTCACTGAACTACTAGGAACCAGGTCTGGGGGATCGTAAGTTAAAAGCGAGGGTCCCTCCCTGCCCTCCAATAAGGCCATCATTCAGGTGCAAGTTTCCAGTCTCTGTCCTCAAGCAGCTCACTGTCTAGTGGGAAAAATGTGGACGGATAGACTCCACCGTGGTGAATGTTTCGATAGGGAGGAGGACAGGCCTCCAGCAATGGATGGTCTGTGACTAGTTAAGTGACCAGTCCCAGCCTTGGAGCCCTTCGAGGGCAGAGATTGTGGCCAGGCACCACATTCGACGGGAGTCAATGTTTGAGAAGTGAGTGTGAATGAATGAAAAAATCAGTGTCTGAAAGAATCACTGCCTCATGGCCTGAAGAGCTGCATAATTCAAGGGATCCAGGATGGGATGATGAACAGTCACGAGAGTGAAGAGCCGTGGAACACACACACGAAGAGTCACGAGAGTGAAGAGCCGTGGAACACACACACAAAGAGTCACGAGAGTGAAGAGCCCGTGGAACACACACACAAACAGTCACGAGAGTGAAGAGCCGTGGAACACACACACGAACAGTCACGAGAGTGAAGAGCCGTGGAACACACACACGAAGAGTCACGAGAGTGAAGAGCCGTGGCACACACACACGTGAGAGTCAAGCCTCGTGATCTGCAGAAGGTCAGTGCAGGTGCTGGAATCCCAGGGAGGTGCAGAGCTTGTTTTTCCCAGCTTGGCTGAGGGGGCTGGGGAGCAGGCTGGCGGCTGCACTGCGCAGTGACCACGCTCTGGTTTGGGTGTCCACTTCAGAAATCACCTCCTGGTGATTTGTGTCCCTGGCTTTCTGAGAGTCCCCGAATTGAAGGTGGGGGAAGATATACTGGATGTGTTGTGACTCATCACAATAAGAGCTACCACTTATTAAGCGCCAGGTGATGGTCAGGTCCTGTAAACCACTACCTCTTCTTGGAGGCTTTGAGCACTGAGAAGGTCTTAGTGTCCCAAGGACGTTAGGCCCCCTCCCCCCACACACACTTTTTGGCCAGTTCTCATCCTTTGGGCTCAGTCTGGATTAAGAGCACAGATTTAAATTAGCCTGTAAGGACTCAAATGCCAGTGTCACCACTTGCTATTGACCAGCTGATTTCCTTAGGCAAATTAATCCTCTCTTCTGTGTTGTTTTTTCCTCTGTAAAATGGAAACGTGAATAATTCCCACTTCGTGCCGGTTGAGGGAGTTAAACAGCTCTGGCTCAATGAAGTCATGACTCTTGTTTACCTGCTGTTTCTATAGCACCAGCCTCCTCTAAGCACTTTACCTATATCTGTTCATTGAATCCTCATAACACCCATTTTACGTAAGAGAAAACCGAGGCAGTGAGAGGTCAAGTCACTTCCCCAAGGTCACACAGCTAGGAAAAGGTGGCGAGAGTGAGAGCTTGATCATAGCTGCTATTGGTAGCTCATACTTAATGGCCCTCCTGTGAACTGTCCCTAAGGTGGCACTTGCTGCTGGGGACTGTCACTGTCTGCTCCATCCCCAGACTGGGTGTGCCATGGAGAGTAGGGCAGCATCATAGCCCACAAGGGTCCTCAGGCCTGTGTGCTGCCCTCTTGGCCTTGAAGGACTTGGGGCCTGGGGACAGCATGGGCTGCTCAGTAGCCAGCTCCTGTCGCGGGGGCGCACTGCAGGCGGAGGGTGGGACGGGGCGGGGCTGGTGGCCTGCGGAGCCTGTAAAAGCAGCGCAGGGCTGCAGGCTCAGCACTGACAACCATGGCACGTCTGAACCTCAAGCTGGCACTAGGCCTGGCCCTGGTTGCACTCTGCCTCCTGGCGCTACCCCGCGACACTGGGGCCTGGACAGGGGAGCGNGGGAGTGAAGAGCCGTGGAACACACACACGAACAGCCACGAGAGTGAAGAGCCCGTGGAACACACACACGAACAGTCACGAGAGTGAAGAGCCGTGGAACACACACACAAACAGTCACGAGAGTGAAGAGCCCGTGGAACACACACACGAACAGCCACGAGAGTGAAGAGCCGTGGAACACACACACGAACAGTCACGAGAGTGAAGAGCCGTGGAACACACACACGTGAGAATCAAGCCTCATGATCTGCAGGTCAGTGCAGGGCCTGGGGGTCTGGAATCCGGGCCCGGCAGTGGGAGTTTGGGTGGGGGGCCCAGTAAGGACTCACTTTTGCGCTTCTGAAATTGCTCATCTTCTTCAGTCCAGCTTTCTGAATCTTTGGGAGAAGTATCCTTGGAATGGGTTTTGCCAGAGATCTTGGAGCCATATGCAGAAATTGCAATGTGGGACTGAGTCCCGCTGGGGGCTGAGACCCCGTCCAGTACCACACTAGGTTGGAAGGCTGCTGTCTGAGAAAGGGCATGAGCCATGCTGTGGGATCTGTATGGGACAGAGAGTTGGGAGGCTCTCCAATGATGCTCTCTGTGGTGGTGATCGTACACACTACGGTGGTGCTCTCTATGCTGCTGCTGCTCGCCATGGTGGGGGTGCTCGCCATCATGGTGGTCTCTGCGGTGGGAGTACTCGCCATCAAGGTGGTCTCTGCGGTGGGGATGCTCACCCTGGTGGTACTCACTGGGGTGGCGCTCACCACGATGGTGCTCGCTGTGGTGGCGAGGTATGCCATGGTGGTAGGACGACATGGAGGAGTGTTTGGACAAGGTCTCTTCATGATGAAGAGGCCTTCTGTGGTGATGGGAGCCATGATGATGGGGCCTGCCATGGTGGTGGCCTTCATGATAATTGGACCTGCCATGAAGGAGCCCTCCAAGATAGGATACCTCACTGTGATGGTAGGACCCACCATGTTGGTAGGAGTCACTGTCGTGGTAGGATGCATCATAGGAAGAGTGGGATAAATTCTCACCAAGATGGTGAGACCCTTCATGATAGTGGGGCCCCCTATGTTGGTGAGATCCGCCATAGTGGTGGAACCCATCATAGTGATAGGGCTCTCCATTGTGGTGAGGCCTGCCATGGTGGTAGTACCCACCATGGTGGTGGGATTCACTGTCATAGTGGGACCCACCATGATGGTAGGATCCACCATGGTGGCGGGACCCACCATGAAGGTAGGATTCGCCTTGGAAGTGGGGCCCACCATGGTGGTAAAATTCTCCACGGAGGGGGGGCCCATCGTGGTGGTAGGATCCACCAAGGTGGTGGGACCCACCACGATAAATCCTGCTACCATGGTGGTGCTCACCATCAGAGTGTCCCTCACCATAGGAATGGTGGGAGAGGACAGTGCCATGTGAGGAAGCCAGACCAGAGGTTGTGGGGCGGTTGGCTCTGCCATGACCATAGGCCTCACTGTGGTGGTAGGATTGGTGGGACTGGTGGGGGAAGGCATTGTCACGGAAGTCTTGGAACTCACGAGGGTGGTGAGATCCACCATGATGATGGGACATGCCATGATGGCGGGACTCACCATGGTGATGGGACTCCCCGTGGTGATGGGACTCGTGACGATGGGGGACTCCGATATGGCCTGGCCTGTGGTGTGGGGATGATGAGTGGGGGTAAGGGGATGATGAGCGGGGGTAAGAGAACACATCCAAATTATTGGTGTCTGCCTCATTTTGAGCTTTTTCGGACATTGAGCGTTGATCCATGACTGTGCCGGGAATCCTGGAATGAAGAGCTCTCAAGCCCTGGGCCCCGCAGGCGCTCCCTGGATCTCCCTTCTCTCCTAAGCTGAGCTAGCTCAGACTGTGGCACTGGGCTTCTAGGGAGGCCTGAGTGTCCTCATGGAACTCTCCCCTCTATGATGTCACCAGCAGGCCTAATTCCAAAATGCCTCCCCCTGGGTTATAGTTTAGAATTAAGAATTATTACGTCTAACTCCTTCATTGTAAAATGAGGGAACTGAGGTTAAGAAAAGGGAAGGGCAGGCCCAAGGTGACCCAGCAGGTCAATGGCAAAGCTGGACAAAGAAGTCTCTGGTGACACCATGCCTCCATCAGTCACTTTAGCCCTGTTAGAAAGAACTTCATGAGGCCAAGTGGTCCAGTCCCCAGTCCCACCTAGATGCCAGTGGGTTCTGGGGTTCAGACTGCCTGACTCCCCTTAAGGAGGTATGTGACCTTGGACTTGTTACTTAATTTTCCTATGTCTCAGTTTATTCCTCTGTAAAATGGGAATAATAAGACATCCCAGTATCAAAAAGGATATGTAAAGCTTATATTAACAGCATAATAAATGTTAATTGGTATTATTTTCTCCTTGATCATTAATATTGGTGGAAACGCCCCTCTTGGGTAATTATCAAAATAAAAGCACCAGCCGTTGTTTACTGAGGACCTACTTCATGCACATTTAATGTATAATCCTCACAATAACACCACATGGTGGATATTATTTCCCCATTTCATAGATGATGGTGCTGGGGCTTAGCATCAATTAATAAAAACTTCAAATCAGCACTAACTCCAAAGCCTGTACCTGTAACCACCATGCTGCCCTGTCTCCCTCCCAAAATCCACTGCAGAGCTTGTCCTGTGCACTGAATTCATCCATGCATAGCACAGCTCTTCTGGAAGCTTACAGGCCACTCCTTTGAATGCATCTGCTTCCTGAGTGGTTGGTCAGAGCCAAGTCCATAGTGGGTACTGGGTACCCAGTTCCCAATGATGAAAGAGACATGGCCCCTGCCCTCAAGGAGCTCATCGTCCATTGCTAGGAGCAGACAAGGACACGGTTTGTGGTAGGACTGCTAGATGTCCCAAAGATCTGTTCTCCCCTTCTTCCTGGGCACAGTGCGTCCCAGCTAGAGAGCATGTCTTGCATACAGGGGAGGCTAAAAGGTGAGAGCAGAAGCAATGTGAGCAACTTCTGGGTCTTGGGTTTCGAGCACAGGGCGTGTGAAGCTCTATTTGCCCCCTTCTTGTGGGCCAAAGAATGGATACGACAAGCAGACAAGATCCACACTCCAGAGATGGGTTTTCAACTGGGGTTTTGCAGAACCACAGAATTCCTTGAGAGACGTTTCTAGGCGAAGGGTTCTGTATTGTGATTGAGAAAAAAAGCACTATTTCTGAACTTCATGTGCTGTGTGATGCCAGCTCTTTCAGTGATGAACAGTCATCCAGCAGCCTTATAAACCTTTGGTTAGAGATCGTTCGGTCCCATACGGCTGTGAACAGTAGGACTGGGATTATTCGGTTGAGTCCTGTCTCAGTTTTTAGTGTGAGGTCAGGAAGTCTGTTGATCACTGGTGAGCATGTATCACTTGGAGAGAAGGAGGGACAGCCTAATGATGTCTTCCTCACCCACCCCAGCCTCCCCTTATGCAGTAACGACTGACTTATGGGAACGAACAAACTCTACTGCTGGGGTAGAAAACCAGAGGGAATTTTCCTTCTAAAGAAATAACTTCCATGTGCAGCCTCTCTGCCACTGGCTGTTGATGTAAACACTATTAAATCTGAATTACACAGGTTAGTAGTGAATTTCACTGTGAAGATTTCATATTTTTTGCAAGTTTCTTCTTTAGCCATCTATCACGCTGTGCTATTTTATATCTTATTAGCATTTGTGTTTTACTAATGGATCTAATGGTCCAATGTGGTGATTTTTAAATATGAGGTGTGCAGTGAAAGAGGAAGGTTCTAGGCCTAACACTATGCACACATCTGGTGAGGTTAGTTAGGGATAAAGAATGTAGCAATGGGGCTGGCCTGTTAGCTAAGTAGGTTAGAGTGGAGCCCTATAACACCGAGGTCACAGGTTCAGATCCCCACACCGGCCAGCTGCCCAAACAAAGCAAAACAAAATTAAGAATGTAGCAAAATTGAGAAGAACCTAACTACAGATCACAGCCATTTGACAAAGAAATGTGCTATTTTTTAAAACATTCATTGGGGCCGGCCTCAAAGCAAAACAAAATTAAGAATGTAGCAAAATTGAGAAGAACCTAACTACAGATCACAGCCGTTTGACAAAGAAATGTGCTATTTTTCAAAACATTCATTGGTGCCTAAAAACAGATTAAGGCTTTTATTTTAAAGGTCACATTCAGTAAAAAGGCTCAGAAAGCAATTTACATGGTAGTAAAACCTATTGTCGGGAAAAAGAAAAATCTTGCAGCTGGTGAGAACTGTAATTAGCGAGCACGTAATAATATGGCTAGCAAGAGAAAGGACAGTGCCAGATGCAGTACAAAAGTGACAAGGTTCTGCTCTCAGAGAGGACGACAACCTGACAAGCTGATGACACAGCACGTGATGCCGAAGAGGTTTTTGTTTTCATTTCTTTGGTAATAAACTGAAAAACAACAGGTTGTTTATCCAGGTTGTGTGTCAACACATTTCACCAATAAATGGCCGTGTTATAGCACTTGTAAGATTCGTCGAGAAAACTTTTCAGCTTTCCGGAGCGAACAAACAGCCAAGATATATTTAATGTTTCTTCATGTCTGGAATCAAAAGGTGCATGGGCCGGCCCGGTGGCGCACTGCTACAGTGCGCCGCTTGGGAGTGTGGCGGCGCTCCCGCCGAGGGTTCGGATCCCACATACAGACCGGCCGCTCACTGGCTGAGCGAGGTGCGGGGGTAACACCGAGGGTTGCGATCCCGTTGCCGGTCCCAGTCCAGTACAGGCGCGACACTGAGGGTTGTGATCTGTTGCTGGTCACGAAAAAAGACAAAAAAAAAAAAAAAAAAAAA